TAATTAAATACCACATAAATATTTATAGCTATATACATAATTGTGGTTGTATGTGATAATATATTATTAAAACAATAAAACAATAAATAAATAAATAAATACTAATAACAATAATAATAAAATAAATGTATAGAATAAGAATAATAATGATAATAATAATAATAGGCAATAGTAATAATAATAATGGAAGCTATACGTAAATTAATTTGTCATTGTGGTTATCAAATATATGATGAGGAGATTTATTTGAGGACTAAATTAATCACTAATTAGTGTGAAAAGATTGGAATGTATAGATTTAGTTAAATAAATCAAGTAATAATGAATTAGGAAGATTTGTTTTAATTAGTAGGATTTACGGAGATTTGTTTTAATTAGAAGGATTTGCAAATATGGCTAGAAGGCGAGGAAGGGCCATCTGTATGTCTAGATGTAGGGGGGAGAGGTGAGTCATCATTAGGGTTATTAATAAATGGTGAGTCATCACCCAACATGTGCATATAAATAAGAGGAAAGTGGTGAAGCTGGCCAGCGTGAAAACAAAGAAGGTAAAAAAAAAAAAAAAAGAGAGAGAGAGAAAGGAGATCAGTGGAAAAGGAAGGGGCCGAAAACCAACAAAAATAGAAAGGTATTAGTAAGACTCAATCTTAAGGTGAGTTATATTATACCTTAAGTCACCATAATATATTTTACGTATGTTTTGACTTACCACAATTTATTTTATACAAATTATATTTCATGAATTATATTAATACAAGTTATATTTTATAAATTATATTAATATTTCAGTTACGTGGATTAATTTCTGAACTATATTTGTTTAAAATGAAACTCATAGATATGTTTATTTAAATTTTAAAGAATATTTGACTATAACCTTATAAACAATTATATTTTGTAAGTACCACCATGGGAGTCCCACGCCTTGGGAGACTTAAATAACCATTGGCCTCTGTTTGGCCACTTTGTGGTCCTCTGTTTGTCATGAATCTATTGACCTCTGTTCTGATTGTCACTTCTGTGACCTCTGTTCTGTTCTGTATCGTAGTTATGGTTATTTATTTACATAATTTTTGTATTTCAGTTTCTGCCACTTAAATGATTTATTTACCAAATTGAGTTATGTAAATGTTTTGGCCTAACTAACTATCTATAGTTATTTTGTATTCCCTATAGTCTTGGCATAATATTTCTCATTCTGTTGTGTGCTTCTAACTGTTACCCTTGCAGTTGACGAGATGTAGAGGAAACCCATAACCTCACGTAATGGAACCCGCACGAGGATTGATGTTGAACCACTATTTTGTCTTTCTTTTTCTTTTTTTTATATTTTTGCTCCCTTTTGTTTTTACTCAGGGCCGGTCACTGAATAATAAAATAATAAAATCCCTATAGACGTATTTTCTCTTATTAAAAGAGTAAAATTGGGTAATTTCCTGTTTAATTATTTTTATTTCCGTTTACGCAGTTTAATTTGCTACGAATAGAATAAGTTAGTAAGTTGCGATTCCAACCCTAAGCCCTTGGGTTGGGTCGTGACAAAAAGAAGAGAAGAGAGGAGAGAAAGGGATGATGGTTGCTGTTCACGATCATCGAAGGTATGTTTCTTCTTCTTCTTCTTCTTCTTCTTCAATTCCCTTCTCTTCTCTCTTTTTTTCGATTTTTGTTTTTTACAGTTTGGCCTCATTTACAAGTTTCAAAAATTGCGTTTTGTACCCCGTGGTATCCGAAACGTGTCCAAGGGTATCCAAAACGTGTCCGGCAGCAAAAAAAATTCAAAAAAAAAAAAAAGGGAGGGACACCTTAGGGAGAGTGTCGGACTCGTGTCTAACATTGATATGTAGGCCTCGGGGAGGTGTTCATGCTTCATAGCCTAGAGGGTATTCTTTTCTTACCCTTTTCTAAGTAACAAACTATGAAAACCCCTCCATCAATCTGCCTGCAATCCATTTGCTTAATAGAGACCAATGATAGAAAATAATTCCCCGAACACAGCTTACAACTTTCATCGTCTTGTGCTCTTCAAATAGAAACCCTTCTAAAAATCTCACACAAGTGGTGTTGGGTTAGAATCCCATTCCAACAAAGATTCTTATGGTTCTAGAGGATCCAGCATGAAAAACCACCTAGTTCTACCCATCACCTTCCAATTTTAATGGCTTCAATCTTTCTATAATGATAAGGCTCATAATAACATTAGTGTTCACTTTTCCAAGTCTATAAACCAAATTTATTTTCTTCCTTTATATGTTCCTACTTTTACCACAACAACATTTCATACACCTTGCCTTCGTCATGGGCGTACTTTTTCTAGATGATGTTTTAACCATATGGTGCATTATATTAGAGGTGAATTTGGGTGGATACAAAACTCTTGTTTTGTTGTATTAGCTAGCAGATTAGAATAGGAATAACAAGAGCCTCGTTGTTTGAAGGCAAACCACTAATGATTCATGTGTAAGAGCTGTGACGGCCTCTAGATTATATGAACCCTTTAGCTATTCATGTTCCAACCACCATTTGAACCCCAAAAAAGGGCAATGAAAGGTCTTTACGACTCTTCTCAAAGCAAGCCTGCAACATTCCATGGAGTACCATGGTAATTACAAATACAGAAAAATGCTAGCAGTCATCCTTTTAAACTTTCCTTGGGCCATTATAAAAAGATCATTAAAAGATAGTTTTGAATTAACAAGAGGTCAACCTTGTGACCATTACCCAATCACTAAACCTTGGATTACTGTTTTTATCACACGGCTTTGAATTAATGAAACAGAATAAAGACAAAATTTGGACCAGTAGGAGAAACCACACCCAATGAAGCTCAAACTTGGGAACACTTAACTATATCCAAGATCATCTTTCAAAAAAAGAAAAATAATGAATGCAAGAGAATTGAGAGATTCGAGTCTCCAACACATCATAAATTATAGAGGCTAAGAATTGGCCTCAAAGTTGCCTATATTGAGGGGATTTATGCACTAGTATCAAAAAGGTGTTAAGATTCCACCCTTCATATGTACTGAATTCTTATTCTTGACTATGGAAGCATAACACAAAGAACACGCAAGAAATGCAAACATAAACCAAACCAATATTCCAAATTGATGTCTCTATCTTTTGTGATAATACACACTCAATCCGAAAGCTAGACATCGAGGAGAACGTGCCCCTACGCTTATATACTTCACATTACTTTAGTACCTAGGCGATGTGGTACTTCGCTTCACACACTCCCTCACGCGCAACATGCTCACTCGACAATGGTTGTCGCGTGCAGGCCAAGGACACACCTACCCATCCCTAGGTACTCCGACTTTGATATCATCTTACATAGTCTTGAGTAGAACTCAACCCCAAAAACTAGCCATTGAGATGAGGGTGCCCTCACGCTTATATACTAAACATTACTTTAGTATTTAGGTAATGTGGGACTTCGCTTCACACTTTTCACAATATATTTTATCTAAAGGTTGTACTAAGTACAATCTCCCGGTAGAAAGTCAGACCATGGCTGGTTTGGGGCAATATACTAGTTTAATGAGCTAGTTCAAATAAGTTTTTTGACTAATGAAAGATAGACAATTCCGTCATCCACCAATAATTTTGATGAATATTTCTTTCAAAACCCTCACAATAAGCCTACATGAATGTTGCCAAATGCTTTTTCTAGGCCAATAAAGAACATTAAACAACCCATATGTTTTCTCTACTTGGCATCAAACCAAAACATTTTCTCAATAATCCATGCCTTAAAGTTTGGACAAACGTTCTCGCAAAGCTTAATCAAAATTGACCTACAAGTTCAAAATTATAGTGATAGTTAAACATCATCATATTATATTTTGGGTCCAGCCATGTGAAATTATCTCTATTTCAAACCTTGTAAGAGATTTAGTCAACTAAACACCATCATACCAATCATTTCTGTAACATAAAAAATAAAGGAAAAATAATAAACAAAGTTTGGCATATACTTGTTTGTTGCTCACAGAAGAACATAAGGAAGTAGGTTTATAGATAGATAACAGGCAGATGGATTGGAATTTCTAGATACATGGACCACTTAAAAAAAAAAAAAAGAAATTCATAAAATAGGGAAGATCATAACATACCTGTGGCTTTAGATCTCGATGTATAATATTATTATCACGGAGGATTTGAAGACCAGCCGCTGAATAATTCACAATCTAATGAACATCAGTAATGGCTCATTGAAGATGTGAAAACTTAACCACAAGGAAACAAAAAATTTCAATGTACCCAGTTGCTGCATAAAATACTTTGCGGTAGCTTCTGGAACTCTTCCTTGGCGTTGCTGAATATATATGGAAAGATCACCCCCTCTGCAATACTCCAATACCAGATGTATTCTTCCAGTTTCCTAAATGACACATGCATGGGACTTGATTTAAAACAAATAAAATCAAGTAGAGTTAAAAGAAATAGCATTCAAACAGGACCCTAAATTTGTCATGCAAAACTAAAATGAACTAGACAAACATAAGAAATTAGGTAAAACAAATTAGACACTCATAACAAATAAAGTAGTTCATATGGTTCATTGCTTTGCTATTTGCTTCCATTTAAAACAAATAAAATCAAGTAGAGTTAAAGGAAATAGCATTTGAATTGACTCCTGGGCAGGACCCTAAATTCGTCATGCAAAACTAAAATTAACTAGTCAAACATAAGAAATTAGGTAAAACGAGTTAGGCACCCATAACAAATAAAGTAGTTCACATGGTGCATTGCTTTGCTATTTGCTTCCACCCTATACTGCATAAGAAAAGCAAAAAACACCCAGCTATTGGAGTGCGCAAATTCCAAGCTACACCAATTCCAAGTCTCTGCAACTGAGCTTAAACAAACTCTTCGGCTTAGCCATTGTAATATTTTTCCATTGTAATATTTTTCACAGCTAGAAAATTACTGACATTAGACACAGAACTGAAATCTTTTCTCTTCTTTTTCTCCTATCTATCTAACCATTCACCCCTCATCCATTCTACTCCATAACCACTGCCAAAACATTAAGATCAGCTTTTCATTTCTCAAAAACGAAATAAGATATAAAATAAGATCTTAAAAGTCTCTTTTCTTCTTTTTTTCTCGGTCACTCCATTTAAGCAATTATAATAACTGTTGCCACATTGTTGAAGTGGATTTTTCCATTTCTTGGAAACCCAACAACTAACAATTACTCAGTTTTCTCTGCAATACTACAAACCTAAGATTATGATCTCTCACCATATTTCATTAATTCAACATTGTAACGATTACCATAACATCAGGATGAGCTTTTTCATTACCAGAAAATTTTTTGCCTTCTTTTTCTTCTCCTATCTATCTCATTATCCATTCCACTCAACCACTACCAAACCATTAAGATCAGCTTTTCATTTCTCGAAAACAAAACAAGATATAACATAAGATCTTAAAAGTCTCTTTATTTCTTTCATTCTCAGCCACTCCATTTAAGCAATTATAACAACTGTTGCCACATTGTGGGTTTTTCCATTTCTTGGAAACCCAACAAACCCTATTTACCATATCATAAAGATGAGCTTTTTAATTACTAGAAAACCAAAAAAAACATAAAGCATAAAAATTTCTATTTTCCTGGGATTTTCGAGTAACCAAACAAAAGATAAAACTATAAATACCTCGATGATGTCGTGCAACCGAATGATGTTAGGATGGTTAGTTTGCCTTAAGATAACAATCTCGGACATGAGAGACTCTTGCAATTTCTTGTTCAATCGTCCCATGTGGATCTCCTTAATCGCAACCTCGGTGCCATGGACTTTGTGTCTCGCATGCCACACCACCGAAAACGAGCCCGACCCAATTTGCCTCCCGACCACATAGTCCCCAACATACCTACCCCCTCCTCCTCCTCCTCCTCCTCCTCCTCCTCTGCTTGTCGATTGAGCCATTACCCAAAAACCAAAAAACAAAACCCTAGAAATTGAAAGCTCAGAAACCCAACTCGAGCTTCGATATCGCTCCAAACACAGCTAAAAATCAGACAACAAAACAGGGAAAATTTGTTGTTGAGAATGTTTTTCTGGGTTTTTTTTTGTTGCTGTTGTTTTTGTTGTTTTGTGGTTTGGGTTTGGAGTGTTTGAGGATGATATCTGATGATTGGTGAAGTATACGGAGATGGGGTTTTGATTCTTGTTTTAGTATCATCCTAATTCTATCAATCTAATAAATGATGATTATGCTGAAGAAGAAGAAGAAGACGAGGAGGAGGAGGAGGAGGACGAGGATTGTGTAAACTCAGATTATGTTTATGGTGGTTAAGGATAAATAATTTGCGGGATTAGCAAGTAGTAAAAATTAATTTCTTACAACTTATTTAATGAAGAAGATGAATAATAATAATATTATAATATATAATAAGATGAATAATAATAATATTATAATATATAATAAGATAAATAATAATAATATTATAATGGGATTTTTATTGATAAATTCAATTTAGAAGTGCTTTAACCTAAGAAGTCCATGAAGGAATTTTTTAACCCATTTAGTCCCATGTAAGTATAGTTTTATTCCATAAAATCCATTTTCTTGATTTACATTATTTTCTTGGACACTTATGCCCTTATATTTAATTTTGATACCCTTATAAATATTTTTTCAACGATTAGCAATTTAATGATGTGAACATTCATATTTTAAAATTCACATTTGTAGGAATGTAAATTGGCCCGTGGGCGGCCCGAAACCCGCCCGCGAGCCAGGGCAGGCCCGGCCTGTTGACAATGTGAATATTCACATTGACATGTTAAGTTTTATTCCATAAAGTCCATTTTCTTGATTTACACTATTTTCTTGGACACTTA